GCAACTAATATATACAGAATAAAAAAATTAAAATACATTTATCTTTGTACGCTATGTGTATTTCCATAAAATAGTTTATTGATGTTGAAAAAATAATACTACTTTCGTACAATAGGTGGCGTCTTACATATTTCTTCCGGCGAGCCGCTCGCTACAATATATTAATATTGTAGCAAGCGGTCAAATGCTCAAGGTCGTTCGCATGGAGTAGCCCCTTAAGTCCGCCCTTTGTAATCCTTTTTATTGAAGTTTTGTACAAAAAAGTATACATAAATTTAAAAAAATAGTACTAAATGTGATTACACTTTCCTTACTTCTTTAGGGGGTCATTGTAGAAGCGTGCTCGTCGCGACCCCTGCCAGCCCTTTTCAGGGCTGCAATTCTACTAGCTACGCACCCATGCCAACGAGGGTTAGGGCGTCCTCCCAAGGCGACGCACACCAGCTCGTCCCCGTTGGTGTGAAATGCAGCGCGCAAAGCGGCGATGGGGACCGCCACCCGTCACGCACAGCCCGACACAGCGGAAGGTGGAGGACAGAGTGCAGAGTTGGCACGTGGAATGTTAGAGGAGGCATGAGAGATAAGACGAATGAGTTGATCGAAATAATGAAAGAAAGAGAATTAGATGTCGTGTGTATGTCGGAGACCAAGCGAAAGGGCAGTGGTACTGAAGAGCTCCCTGGCGGGGCGTTAGCTCTATGGTCCGGAGTCCCGGAGAGCGAGAACGCCTGCCAGGGAGTGGAGGTGCTGCTGTCTTCTCGGTTGGTCGATGTTATCACTGAATATAAGGTTGTGAACTCAAGACTTCTCTGGGTTCGCTTTAAATTGGGACTGACGAAGTTATTCCTTTTGGCTGTTTATGCGCCGGTAGCTTCGTCGTCCAGGGCTGAGCTGGAGGAGTTTTGGGAGAATGTAAGAGAAGTTCTAGATTTGGCTAGGGGAAACGAAAGAATTGTTGTATGTGGTGATTTAAATGGATGGGTTGGTACCGCTCGACCAGGGTACGAGTCGGTACTTGGAAAGTTTGGCGATAAAAGGGTTAATGATGCTGGCAAGCTTATACTGGCGGTGTGCAAGGAAAAGGGTCTTCTTGTGACAAACACTATGTTTAATCGCAAGAAAATCCATATGTATACTAGAGAACGAAAGAATGAGAGAAGTATGATTGATTTGTTCCTGGTGGATGACCGACTGCGAAAACAGGTGATGGATACGCGAGTGTTCAGGGGTGCTGACCTGGGAACGGATCACTATCTAGTGATTACTAGATTTAGGGGTCTGTTCGCGGGTTGGCGCTACCGGACGGCAGTAACAGAACCACAGTCGGTCTGTCGCATCCGAAGCTGGAAGCTTCAGGAAGCGGATACTAGGGACAAATATCATGCGAAGGTAGCCGAAAAGCTTGACACCATCGATGGCAGAAAAGAATGTGTAGAAAGAACATGGCAGAACCTTAGGGATGGAATGGTAAGTGCAGCGGAAGAAGTGTGTGGAACAATAAAAAGAGGCAGTAGTAAAAGAAGAGATGCATGGTCGAATGATGAAGTGAAAGAAGCTGTAAAGAAGAAGAAGAAAGCATGGTTAGACTACTTGGCCTCTAGTAATGATATGGATATGAGAGAGAAGATGAAAGAAAGATATAGGCTGCAGAAAGTTCACACGAAAGCACTGATTGAGGAAGTGCGTGAAAGGTGTAGAATGGAAGCGGACGAAAGGTTGTCGCACAACTTTAAGGAGAACTCCAAACTCTTCTGGAAAGAGGTTGGAAGGGCCCGAAGTGGTGCGACGGCCTTAAGAATGAACAAAGTGCTTTCGAGAACTAATGACGTCCTCTCAGAAAAATCGGACGTCATGCAGCGATGGAGCGAATTTTATAGAGAAATGTATGCGTGTGATGATCTTAGTGAGGGATCCGGGGATGACGCCGTGACTGGTACGCCAGACCCGGACCTCGATGACACTGAGGTCATCAGTATGAAAGAGATTGAACGTGCGATTCGAAGTTTGAAATGTGGTAAGGCTGCGGGACTAGACAGAGTTATTGCTGAAATGGTCAAGTATGGTGGGCCTCGCGTCTGGGACAGCTTTCGTCTGCTGTGCAATTTGTGCTGGCGGACGGGGGATGTCCCGGATGATTGGCGATCCGCAGTCATTGTGCCTTTATATAAAGGTAAAGGTTCACATTTTGACTGCGGGTGCTATCGGGCGATCAGCTTGACCAGTTTAGCAAGTAAAGTTTACTCGAAGGTTTTGACACGTAGGATGCAAGAGAAATCGGAAAGATTTCTATGGGAGGCACAATGCGGATTTAGACCTGGAAGAGGATGCACGGATCAAATGTTTTCTCTCCGCATGATCACGGAAAAGCTTCTGGCTGCTAACCAGAAGATTTTCTGTGCTTTTGTGGATCTTGAGAAAGCATTTGATAAGGTTGTAAGGAAGAAAATGTGAGAACTGTTGCCGGGGTATGGTGTGGATGGTCAATTGCTAAGGGCTGTGCAGTCTCTTTACTGTGACTGTAAAGCCTGTGTGCGGGTAGGGCATGACCTGTCACCCATGTTTAACGTCCAAACGGGCGTAAAGCAGGGTTGTGTCATGTCTTCCTGGCTGTTCATACTGTATCTCGACAGCTGTTTACAGAAGCTGAAAGATAGTTGTTTGGGTGTGAAATTGGGTGACATTAAAGTAAATTGTCTGCTGTATGCTGATGATGCAGTGCTTATTGCACCATCAGAGGCAGAACTGCAGGCATTAGTCACGTGTATGAAAGAGGAATGTGAAATTAAAGGTCTCCATTTGAATGCTAATAAAACTAAGGTTCTGGTATTTGAAAGGGACGAAGAGAGAACAAAGTGTGAAATATGGGTAAATCAGGAATGTCTAGAACAGGTAAATGAAATTGTATACTTGGGGAGTGCTTTTAGCCGGGATGGAAGATGTGATTTAGATGTGGACAGGCGTGTCGCTGCCGGGAACAAAGTCAATGGTGCCCTGGCTGCGTTAGTCAAAAGGCAAGGCGTAGCGAAGAGTGCACGCCTTGCAATACATAACGCAGTGTTGGTACCGACTTTATTATATGGCAGCGAAACCTGGGTATGCCAGAAGAAGCATAAAAGTAAGTTGAATGCAGTGGAGATGCGATCTCTTCGTAAAATGTGCGGCGTTACCATGGCCGACCGAAAGCGAAAGGAAAAGATTCGCAATATGGCAGGTTTGAAAGATGACCTTATCACAAAAATTGATAAGGGCGTGCTTCGGTGGTTTGGGCACGTTAAGCGAATAAGTGAAGACCGAATGGTTAAGAAAATATATAGCGCGAAAGTTAATATTAAAAGGTGTCGAGGTAGACCGAGACTAACTTTCGAAGACCATGTGAGCAAATTGCTCGAAGAGGGTAGGGTCAAAAGTACTCGGATACTTAGACGTGCATGCATGAAGAAGATAATGAATCTGAAAGAAGCGAAAGAGGTATGTAAGGATCGTGACACTTGGCGATCTGTTCTCTCTTGCTACCCCGTCAGGGATTGTGCGTGAAGATAAATAAAATAAAATAATAAAATTACTTCTTTCCAAATCAGGAAACTAAGCAAGTTAGAAATTAGGAAGGTGGGAATTTTACTAACTAGCTTATTAGAATCCTAACTGTCCTTAAGTCTTATCAACTCACTTCAAAAAAAAGAGGTCCTCAACTATATGTTCTTTTTTATTGTATGAATGTCATGAGATATCACCGCCAATTGTAAACCAATATCATTGATTCTTTATTTATTATATCTTATGTTAAACCTATTTCAGGAATAGTCCCATATAAATTTGGTGGAAAAATTTTACCCCTAAGAGCAAGAATGCACTTCGATTTTTACATGAAACTGCATGATATCGACGCAATGTCTTGGGCCTGCTCCGGTTGTATGATGTGGCGCACTGCCCGCCCTCCATGCACTCGGCGCGGTTAGCCGCTAGCCGCTTTATGTCATGGATTTTGATACAGAAAAGTTCATTTTAGAAATCAAAGAACAGGAATAATCAGTGGATTTGCTATATGGGATGGCAAATGCGCTGCTTATAAACACAATAACTGCAGCAACTTTTTGAACATTCATCATGTCTGACTAGAATAGAACCGAGATAATAGTGTCAGCCGGAATATGACAGATGACCGTATATACTGCAGCCACTGGTATGTTCTTACTCTAAGGTTGGAAAATAGGTTATGAAGTTATTAATATAACTATTTCGATGACAATTGACAATATTTGTTACCCTAGGGCTTGTGGTATTCTTTAGACCACTAAAATTGGCCAAATAAATAAACTTTTAGGTCTTGGTACCAACTTCCTTTAACCCTTATACTTCTTTTTAGTTCTTTGATGTCCACATTTACTTCTTTTTCAAAGTTTAATTTTCACACATTCCTTTTCCTTTCCTGAATCCTTATTAAGTTCCTAAATTCAGTATAAACTATACACATTTTAGAAACGCATGAACCAGCCCAACTGGCCAATAGGAATTCAAACTATCATCAGTCTTTTTAGACTTTCCTTTTACTTTCCTGTATCCTTCTTCAGTTCTTAAATTTAGAGTAATGTAGCAGTGATATCAAACTTATAAATAAAGTTTTTCCCAATTAATCGTAAACAACCTCTGTTATATATTAACAATCATATCACCATTGATTTAAAATAAGAGGAATATTATGTTTTGGTGTGTCATATAATTCAAATAACAACCTTAAGCGAGAAAACCCTCTCTATCCTCAATATAACTCTTCACAGAAGTCATTCCAACAATTCAACAGCTCAAAAGATTGCACAGGAAGTATATTGTTGTCATATACGTTTAAAAAAATATATATTTTTAAATGGTTACGTATACAGTTTGTTTATGTTAAAAAAATTGTATTTTATTAAAAGTGAAAGTACATATTATTCAATTTTGACAACTAAGTAAGTACTATGCACGTTCATGATAAAGATTACTTATCACTAAACAATACTTACTGTTAGCGTATACACCAGTAATGCTTATATTTCAGAACTTTTAGAACACTTAAATTATTTCACTTAAATTTATTTGCAAATTTGCGATTACGATACTACACATACACATACACAACACAAGTACATAAAACACAGATGAAAAAAAGTAGTAGTCCAGTGTTGCCAACTGCCAGCTTTACCAAGTTACTAAACATTTTTAAAAATGTTGCTAGATTGCCAGATATTTTTACCCCAAAAAGTTGCTAGAAGTAGCTAAATGTTATAGTACGTAGGTATGTAGTTCATTTTTAATCATAGACATAGTATCTTATAGACTAAACATTCAGTGACGTCATCAGCGTGTGAAAGGAATGCACGTATATAGTTAGACATAAGAGTAAGGGAGAAGCAAATCTATGTTTCTTGTCTTTTTCCAGGTATGCGTTTTTGATTGTTTTCCCTCCTTTATTTGACATTAACGATGTCAAGCTCTTTCGTATAATATTGATATTATAAGCAAACAGGTAATTGAAATTAGTGTTTTTTGTGGATCTTAGTTATTAGGTAAGGTGAAAAAGATGGTAAGTTGTAGCATTTTAGGATGCAACAGCATCAATCAACGAAAAATTAATAATATTACCTTTCATCGGTAAGTTTGTTTTGTGCTTACATTTGCTACTTGTACTGTTTAATATCTATTGTTTTGAATATAAAGTGTAATATTTCATGTTTTTAATGAACTTTGTAATGTATTTTGTCAAATATTTGGACTCCCAGATTGTAAATTCTTCATGATAATGCTACTTAATTTGAACGGTCATTCGAAAGCTTAAAGTCATAACAAACGTGTACTTTTTGATATGGTAGGATTATAGAAACTTTAGGGATATCAGCGAGTACAATAATGTTTTCGCATTGTCCAATAATAATTGTTATTGTGATTAGTAGTTATGTCCATAAATATGAATCACATAATGTTATACATATACATAAAATTTTATGTTCAGCTTTAAAGGAAACTGCTTATTGCCCTACAATTCTTCAATCATTTTCCATATTACATAGACGTCACAAATAATATGTGAGTATCAACCTGAAAACATGCTTGGATTCAAGTACATAAATATTGGGCAAAGTATATTTAATTTCACAAAATATGTATTGCCTGAAATCAGATGCACAAAACTTTATTGCATTCCATTAATTCTATTATACATTAGCAACAATTACATTACAATATTTATTTAAAAAAAATATGTCATGCTAATATAAAAATAAATATAAATATAGATTAAATAATAAATAAATAAGTCTTAATCTTAAGGTACACAATAACACAACAACATAAGATAATATTCTCAATTAATGATGTAGAAAAAATTTGATGATAATATACTTACCGTTACCATTAGTCAGTATCAAAAGTTATAGATTTTGTGATAGTTGCCTCGCTTGGCAGGATAATTGGCAACTGCAGTTATTTGGAGACAAACTGTGTGGGAGGTCTATGTTCAGCGGTGGAGAATATTTGTTAGGCTGTAAATGTATTAATTAACAATATCTAAAGCTTAATATGTACATAATTTTTTTAAATGTTTGGTATGAATAATATTATCATTACTATTGTATTAATTGTATATTAATTGTTATAGGTATTGTATTTATGCACAGATACCCATACTTGATTATTTTTTGGTTAAATGCCTTGATATAAAAGTGTACTATATATCTAATTTATTAATTTCTTTTAAATATATTATTTCACAGCTTTTCTAAGGAATCAGCTATCCGTAACTGTTGGATAATCGCTACAGGTAGTAATTATAGGTAACCAACAAAACTTAGCAGTATATGCTCAAAACATTATGAGCCTCATTGTTTTAGGTGGACTAAATATGCTTAACTTATGTAATTTATAATATAATTAAGATAATTTTTTTAAATGTTATAATTTCTTGTTGTATCTTGTTGTTTCTCCATAAGTTTGATCTTGTTGGTAGTTATGATTTTTGACATTGTTCTGTATGTATTAAAAATTGACTAGCATTGCTTATTTTATTTTCAAATGCTGACATTCTGTATTATTATGACTTGTAATAATTGGGTGGCATGACAATGACAAAATATTTACTTATAGATGTATTGATTAAACATGAATCCTCATTTACAAATGTTGGAACTTTATCTGTACTACCATGTTTTATGCAAATAAAGATTTAAATAAAATAAATAAATAAGTAATTTAAAGTCCTGACCTAAATATACAAATGAATAATTTATTATGCAATAATAATTGTAAAACTGACTGGGAATGCCTACCAATGGGACATTTAGTCCACCCTTAATCCCTTTTATAAAGGTGTTATAAACATTAATGTGTAAATAAATTTAGAAATAAATGTAATAATTATGATAATTTCTATTTAATTGTCATAAAAATAATGTAATAAAGATGTTTTTGACAAGAGATAAGTATTACCTATCTAAGTATAGTTTAGGAGTTGTACCTTATTATTTATACCATTAAAATATATTATATACAAGGCAAATAATATATATATACACTCCCTTCTAATCTGATTCAAACGACCAGCACCCAAGAATTTCTGCCATGCAAAAGTATAAATCAAGTTTACAAATGCATATTTTTGAGAAATTCTAAGGCTACTCAAACCAAGAATTACAACGAATGCCCTAGAAAGAAGACTAAAATTTTGTTAAATTTTTTGTTTATTAATGTGATGAAAAATTAATAAATAATCGTTTGTTTATTTTAATTTTATTGAATTATATTTAATATATAATTGTGTTTTCATTTGTTTTACTTAATATGTAACATTGTTAATGTTTCTAAATGTTGTGTAAGTACACAAAATTTAGTTCTTTTTCCTTTTTAAATTTCAATATATTTTCATTTAAATTGAATATATATCTTTACAGTCTATCAAAAGTCCACTGTTGAACATAAACATTATTATAGTTATTTGGCATAGTTTCAACTCTTGGAAAGCGGGTTGTCAACCATTATTTAGCTGTTATCAGGACAATGCTGCTGTTTATCTTCTTTGATGTTTCCCTATGTCGCCTCATACACCACCTATGGAATGATATGAGGTAGCAGATAATCTTACACTGCATGGTAAATTAAAATAGAATATTATAAAACATTCGTTTTTATTTTATATACCAACATATCACAAAAAAAAATCCTTTGTTGATGCTTTACGACGTATATTAACTAAAACATTTTACCACCTTAACCATTAGGTAACATGATTAAGCCACCTAACCATAAGTAAGTCACCTAAAAAAGGCCTTCCATAGATATCCTCATAGGATGACTTGGCATAGTTGCCATGCCTGCGTGAAAATATGCGTTATGCTGGTTGGCCACCGTAGTTTTTTATAATTTTAAGTTTTCATCGGGCAAGTGCTGCTGCCCCATCCCCATCTTGTATTATTGCTTACGATGCGGGGTAATATCATCCCGTGTACAGACAAATTCTTTTGTACGCCACAACTTGCCGCACACAAGACACTAACTTAGCAAAACATGCAGGAAATCGCGGGAGTAGGCTCATAACCGTGTTTTGTACTACAAAACCTAAGTGGAAACCCTTTCCTTTCGAAGATCTGTGTTCAGCACTGAACTTTTGATGGAATGGTATGTTAAAACATTATTGTTTTTTTTTTTTGGGAAAAAGCAACAAATCTCGACACAAGGAAATTTTTGTTTATTATTTAATATGTTTATTCTCAATTAATATTTAAGTACATACATAACATATTGTTATTTATTAGCGATATCACACTATGTGCTATTAGCGCATTCACTTAGTGCCGTCGAAATCCAAAGAGTGTATTGAAAGTCCAGTAAAATAGTCGATGCGCCGTTGAATACAGAATGATGATTCTGTTTTTACGCCGTTTCCGCCCGTAGTTTTTGTCACAGAATGTATTTTCAAGAGAAATTAATTAATCATCTGAATTATAAAAGAACATTTTTTTATGGTAACAATTAAGTTTTATGTATGAATGTAAGTGCTGTGAATATAAATAAACCCATAACGAGGGAAATGGAACAATATCTGGTAACCCAGTGAAAATACCTCACGCCTATTTCTATCTCAAAAGCATACGCGAATGCTTTATCTAGTCAATCCACGATCTACGTTTTTAATTTTCAACAAGAGAGTTAAAATATCTTGTGTACAGTCACGAGCAATAATATGTAAACAACATAAGACTATATTATATTTATTGTGGACTTTTGTGGCACAAATAGTTTTATTTCGGAACGGTTAACGTGACAAAATTCTGTGTTGTTTACATATTATTGCTCGTGACTGTACGTTATTGAATAAAAAAATAAGTTTAAAATTAATCAATCAATGAAGAAGATATCGATGGTTGGGGTTCAGTGTCTTTCGTCGTTAATTCCGAATATTGTTAAAACTCAAACAACCTTTAAATTCGTCCATATTTTCCCACTTCTGTCTATATTTCTGTGCGAACGCTTTTTTTTCGAAGATAAATCCATTTTCAAACAAAATTAAAACATATAAACGGATAAAACAAACAACACAAAGTGGAATACGAGTAGTGCGTACTATTTTGGTTTACGTTTAGCACTTTTCCTGCCGCAACAGGAATCGGGGAATTCCCGGCTAACGTCCACCTAAACCCAAAGAGAATATAATCACTACGTTTAAGAGGCAGGACTTCCATAGTAAAAATGAATGCATGATATTACGCCAAGCTACTCTACCAACATCAAGATATGACATTTAGTTTTGAGAAACAGTGCTGACAACATTGACGAATTACAATAGTGCTGTAAATGTGTATCATCGAATAATTTTATCGATATATTGTTTATCGATATTTTTACACAAGGAAAGTTAGATCTCTATACTGAATTATTTATGAGAAATAATTTTTTTAACGTGGGGATTGAGTAAAAATTCCGATGAGAATAAGAAATCAATGTATTTTACACACAGCAATTTGTAATTATATTTCTACAATAAGGTACAAAAATATGTATAAAGAAAATATAAAATAAAAAACGCACTTCTATACTAGTAATTAATTAAGTATAAAATAAATGACGACTCCGAAGCGCAGTGGCTATGCGTTTGGCAG